AGCCAGCCAGAAATACAGAAAGCAAGAAATCACCCCCCAGGAGGGATGGCCACGCCACAATCCCTTCTCCTCCGTTCTCCTCTCAGGATCTTGGGCATACACGCCCAGCGTGAGTTTCAAGCCACCGGGTCCAGGACGTGAACCGCGGTCGACTACGTGGGAGTCCAGCGACATGGCCATTACGCCAACTGCTGGCCCCACGTGCTTTCTTTTTTAGAAGTTTGTTCATTTCATGGCAGAGTCAGTCAGGTATCTTCTACCTGCGGACAGGTCTGACCGCTCTGCAATCCTCCCCTGGCGTCTGGCCCAGCCAGTATCACATGCTGTGCAGGCATGCCTACGGTGGTCATGGTGGCCCACGACCCAAACCCTGGCCTCACACGTAGCTCCAGTACCGCCGCCTGCCTCTCTGCTTCCTGATATGATGCACTAAGAAAACCACACCACTCCGATAAAATGTTCCGTCTACTCACAGGAAACACCAGATCCAAACTGAAGGGCATTCTACAACAGGAAGCCTGTACTAGTCAGACATGGAAGTCAGGAAAAAGTAAGGAGCTGGTCCGTCTGCAGTGCGCGCATTGCTAAGACGCTGTGCTCTGCAGGCTGGGGCCGTACGGGAGGTCCGGGAAACACGTCAAGGCCCGCCTCTGGGAAAAAAGAAATGGGCATAGAGTGGTGTGCACCTGACGTCCCCACGGGGGCTGGGGCAGGAGGATTGCAACCTGGCAGGAATCTGTGTTTAAAAGAAAGACAGACAAGGGAAGACTGAGGAGATGCAAGAGATTAAAGAAACACGACAGCTAAATACCCTGTGACCTGGCCCGGGTCCTGCAGCGGTGGGGTGGGACAGTGCTATAAAGGGCAACACTAGGACAACTCGTGAGACTTTATGGGCTAGCATGTGGCACGGTTGTCAGGGAGCTGGATCCCCACACGGCTGACTGTGGTCTGAGCCCTGGACCCAGCTGTGCAAAAATCATACCAGATACACGTGCCAAGTGTGCATACGTGCCCCAAATCCTGAGAGGACGGAGGAGGGACTGCAGTACGGGCATCCCTCCTGCCGGGTCACTCCTTTTCCCTCTCTCTCTCTTCAGAGACCACATGTGCCCTGTGGCATAGACTTAAACCAACCCAACCCAACCCAACTCAACCCTGAATGTAGTCTGCAGATTAGGTAAACATATTGTGATCACGCTAAAATCTGCTTTTGATAACTGCATATGGGTCATATAAAAAAAGCCCTTTTAGGAAATACACGGAAGTGTTTGCAGGTGTCTAACATCTTCCAATAGTTTCTAAAGGAAAACAACATGCTCTTTCTGCATGCATGCGTGCATGTGCATGTGAGGCAAAGAATGAGGTAAAATGTAAACAAGTGGTAAATGTGGAGAGAAATATTTGGTGACCTCTAAAAACACTGCAGCTCTGGGACCAGCAGTTGGCGTAATGGCTATGTTGCTGAACTCCCATGTAGTCGACCGCGGTTCGCGTCCTGGACCCAGTGGCTTAAACTCATGCCGGGTACGTGTGCTTGCATGTCCAAGATCCCGAGAGGAGAATAGAGGAGAAGGGATTGCGGCGTGGCCATTCCCCCCAGGGGTGATACTTGCTTTTTGTCTCTCTGTCTCTGTCTGTCTGGCGAGAGCACGCACCCTATAGCAAAAATCTCTCCAAAAAAATAAAAAATGAAAAACACTATAACTCTAAAAAGAAAGTGGAGTTAGTTGGAGGGAAGGAGGGTCTGTGACATGGAGCCGTTCACAAGAAAGCAGGTTTCCTTCTATCAAGAAGGATGTGCAAACAATTTAGCAATTTCTGATCACAGCTACCTAAAAGGAGGAGCAAAGAGAGAACTCAGAGGAGGGACAACTGCTAGCATGGTGGTTAAGGTTGCTGGATCCCATGCGGTTGACTACGTGGTTCAAGTCCCAAAATCCCAGACCTGGTGGCTTAAAGAAGCACGCTGTTGGGGCAGCAAGTGGACTCCCATGTGATTGACTATGGTTCTAGTTCCAGACCCAGCAGCTTTAAAACTCACACAGCAGATGGCGTAATGGTTATGTTGCTGGATTCTCACACAGCCAACTGCGGTTCGAGTCCTAGACCCAGAGGCTTAAAATGCACACTGGGTGTGTGTGTGTGTGTGCCCGAAATTCCAAGAGGAGAATGGAAGAGAAGAGCTTGCAACATGGCCATTTTCTGTCTCTCCAGTGAGTGCACACGCCCTATAGCAAAAATCTCTCTAAAAAAATAAATTAAATAAAAAATAAAGAAACTCACACAGGGCACATGTGCGTACATGCCCAAAATCCCGAGAGGAAGATGATGAAGGGATTGCAACAGGGCCATACCCCCTGGGGGGTGATTTCTCACTTTCTCTTTCTTTCTCTTTCCAGGAAGCGTACGTGCCCTATAGCAAAAACCCCTACCAAAAAGAGGAAAAAAACAACAGAAGACAGGCTGGGCATGTATGCACATGTACCCAAAATTCCAAAGGAGGAAGAAATGAAGAGGAGGGATTTGCACCATGACCATTCCCCAAGGAGGATACATTCTCACTTTCTCTCTTTTCTCTGGCAAGCCCATGTGCCCTCTGGCAAAAATTAAAAATAAATAAAATGATTGCTTTTTTTCCATTTTTTTTTTTAGGTTATGTCATGTGACACTCTTGAGTAATGGATGTCAGTACATTTTTATTTGGCTTGCTACTGAAAGAAAATGACATTTCCTCATACACAAAGTTATGACTGAACTGGGGGGGAGTTTTCATTTCTTGGGATTGGATTTTATGATCTTCCTTCCATGAAGACTTTTTGGGGTATGTGTGACTTGGCTGCCCAGACAGAGGAATTTCCTTCAGCACTTAAGCCACTTAAACTCGGGCCCTGGGCTCTGTGGGACTGCGACACGTGAGCCACGACTCACGCCTTCTCCACGCTCAAAGTGCTAGTTTCTGCGGACAGAAGTACACACTAACACAGTTCAGCAGCAATCTATATGCAAAATGCAAGTTTAGCAATTTTTTGAGACAGCCTAAGACATACTGAGTAATGACAGACGCTACTGATAATATCTTCAACTGATCACATATATGAGGCTGGGCAAGTGGTGTAACCCTCAGAACCACCAGAATCCCAGCACTCCTACACCACCTCAAGACACCTACTCTATTGAGAATCATGGGGAACATCTTCCTAACACAATTAAGTAATACTTTAACAATAATTTTATCTTCACCCTAAGCAAGAGTAGCCACAAAGGGAACCAGCAGTTAGCATAATGGCTATGTCACTGGACTCCCACGTAGTCAACCGCGGTTCGCGTCCTAGACCCGGTGGCTTAAACTCACGCCGGGCGCGTGTGCGTGCGTGCCCAAGATCCCGAGAGGAGGATGGAGGAGAAGGGATTGCGGCATGACCATCCCCCCTGGGGGGGGATTTCTTGCTTTCTGTCTCTATGTCTCTCTCTGTCTGTCTGGCGAGCGCACGCGCTCTATAGCAAAAATCTCTCTCAAAAAAATAAATAAATAAAATAAAATAGTAGCCACAAAACTTTAAGTTTACTGATATCATTCTTTTTAATCTTTTTTTAACTTGCTAGAGGGCAGGTGCATTGGCCAGAGAGAGACAGAGACAGAAATAGAGAGAGAGAGAAAGCATGCTGTGGGGAATGGGTCATGCTGCAATCCCTTCGCCTGCATTTTCCCCTCCTTTCAGGATTTTGGGCACTTGCAAATGTGCACCTGGTGTGTTTGTTAAGCCACCAGGTCCAGGACGCAAAACATGCACTTGGCCATGTGGGACCCAGCTGCCTTACTCCCACACCACCAGTGGCCTGAGCTCACTCTTCCTACACATACTGAAGTGATACCTAACTATTCAAGTAAAAGCCTGAGTCCATGTGCCGCCTCTAATCATCTCACGTGGTTACTCCACAGTATCACACCCGTGAGACTTTCACGCTAACAAACCACGGCTAAAACTCGCAGTCTAGCTCACTACTGACATTCACTGGCTGCCTGGTCACTTGCCTGCCACGTCTTCCACCCTGTAGGCCACGGACGGTTAATAACATCTGACGGAGCACTGAGCTAGTCACGCTCACAAACCCTTCAGATTATATACAAAAGTGGGACCCATTTCCTTTGAGTTCCCCTAACTCTCACAATAGAGGTGCCCGCCAACCAAGAAACACGCTCCCGGGGCAGGTAAGTCTCTACCTGAGTTCTCGATCGCCTTATGCTGCTTATTCGGAAGGGTCACAGAGACATCCTCATAATCAGGGTCGGTTTCTTTGATTGTTCGCTTGATTCCAGACATGATGACCTTCAGTTCTTAACTGCGAAGCAATAAAACATGGTTAGTAACACTGTGTCTTAGTACTTATAAATTTATACACATGCCAATACAAAGAGAATAAATAACTATTAAATAATATTGGCACTTCAAGATAACTACTACATCTGAGAATGCGAAACACCTAGTGAATACAATTAAGTCTGTGTATATGTGTACATGTCCCTTTTAAAGCCAAAAGCACAAGTTTAACTTTAAAAGATTACTTAAATTTCATCATAATTATCTGTTAAAAATCATAGGCCTCTCTTAAAAGAGAGGCCTATGATTTGGACTTTTCAAAAGAAGCCTGGCTTTCACCGAAGAGCCCCCATTAGCAAAGGAAAGGAACCAGACTTCGACAAGGAAAGCCCAGAGTGCCTTGGAATTTGCAACACATTAAACACATCGCAAAATATGAGCAAAGTAAAACTTTCTTAAAAATTAATTTCGAAAACTGGAAGGGGCCAGTGGTGGTACAGCACTATGAGAACCTGAGCGCCTCAGAAAGGTGGCGTCCCAGGACTTCCCTGTAGACCACAGTGTGCACACCGGGAGCACACGCACATGCACGCCTGTGACCCCAGGCTCAGGTCGGGGCGTGAAGGCCCGCTGGCAGCGCCTGTCTCTCTTTTCCTCTTGTTTCTCTCTCTTATGGAAGAAATTAATAAATGCAAATTTAAAAATAAGAAACTAAAAATATGAACAATGCAGTTAAAGGGTCATTAATTTATTACAAAAATTCTGTCTCTGGTACTTACACAGTGCCTGCTATGTAATATGTATTCAATAAATTATTGTTAGTGAACTTTAAAAACATTTTTCCTAGAGGGTGGGGTATGTGCGCTCATCAGAAAGACAGAGGAAAAGGGAAGTGAGAAAGCACCCAGCACAGGCTCGCCGCAGCCCCGCCCCCTCCTCCCTCTGCTGGGGACGCTGGGCATGCACATACACATTGTGTCTGGCATGTCTTTCAAGCCACTGGGTCCAGGACACGGAAAGCAGTCGTCCATGTGGGATCCAGCTGCCTTAACCGCCAGGCCCAGGCTGGCTGTTACTGATCTTTATCAGTACTCATAAAATGCAAGCCAAATAAACTAACAAGTCTGTATCACAGTCAACAAGTCCTAAGTGTTCAAGTCTTACGGTCCCTGACATCTTCTAGAGCTGCATGGTTCCAATACGTCAGCCATGTGGTTACTGAAAGTTAAATGAACTAAAATTAAATTAAAATGCAATTCCTTGGGCCCGGCAAGTGGTGTGGTGGTTAAGGGCACTGGACTCCCATATGGCCGACCGTGGTTCAAGACTCGGACCCAGTGTCTTGCTTTCTCACTTCCTCCTCTCTATCACTCTGTCCCTCTCTGGTCAAATTAAAATAACTAATTAAATAAATAAACTCATTTACTAGAATAAACACGTCAAATTAAAATAACTAATTAAATAAATAAATAAACTTATTTACTAGAAAAAACACTAGTAACAACAACAAAAATATATAAATTCAATTCCTTTTTCCTGATATTATTTTTTCACATTTCACAACAAGACACACGCGGCACATCTTAGCCAGCAGGAGCCAGCAGCCATCCTGGACAGGGCAGATGGGGACACTGGTGTCACCGCAAAGCCCTGTTTGATACAGCTGTTTGCAAACTGTTTCACTGAGTACTTGTCAGCACTGCCCACTATACTGGGTCACTGGAAAAGTCATGATGCATTTTTGCATAGAAAAACAGAAAAATAAGTCATGACTTTTCCAATGACCCAATAAATAAAATGTAAGCCACATATTGGATTTAAGATTTTCTGGCAGCCACATTTAAAAAAATAAAAAAGAAAGAAGGAAAAGAAAACTGGGTGAATTTTAATAATATATTTAACCTAACCAATATAGCCAAATTATCATCTCAACAATGTCATTAATAAAAAGCAAACCACCAATGAAGTTTTATGTTCTTAGGTTTTTACTAAGTCTTTAAAATTTGAGGGCCTGGGCAGGCCCCATAGTCTAGTGGGTGAAGGGAGCAGCACCCCACGAGGCCACCCACAATCCACACACTGGCCCCAGCAGCGTGGCACTCATGCCAGGTGCACGTGCAGGAACGCCCAGAATCCCAGGAGGAAAGAGAAATGGAGGAGCCGGAGTGCCGCACGACTATGCCCCGTGGGAGGAGGTGGGAGGTGCTTTCTGCCTCCCTCTCAATTTACAATGGTTGAACGTACAATTTTTCAACCTCACAATGGTCTGAAAGTGTCGGGGGTACATGTATGGTCGACTAGACTAAGTTATGATGCTCAGTAGAGTAGCTGTATTGAATGCATTTCTGACTTACAGTATTTTCAACTTAAGAAGGCTCTGGCCGTAACCTGACTGTCTGTATTTAACTCAAATGTTAAGAGAAATGGAGAGTCCCCCAGCTCAGCTCAGTGCTGTCCCCCACCTCAGGGAGAACTCTCTTGATGCAGCGGGGAGAGTTGCAGGCACTGATACCTATGCAAACCCTAAACCTGAACGAGCAGCCCCGTAACACTACACATCACCTGTGTAATACTGCCAAGGCAAAAACCGAAACCAAACAAAGAACATTCTAGGAAACCTTTGGGCAGCTGGTGGCATGGTGGTTAAGGTGGCTGCATCCCACATGGTCGACCATGCAATTCGAATCCCAGACCTGGCAACTTGAAAACCATCCTGGGCGCCTGTGCACACGTGCCCAAAATCCCAAAAGGAGACTGGAGAAAGAACTGCAGTGTGGCCATCCTCAGGAGGAGAGTTCTCACTTCCTTTCCCTCCCTTCCTCTCTCTCTCTCTCTCTCCAGCAAGTGCATGTACCTTCCAGCAAAAATGAAAAAAAAAAAAAAAAAGAAAAATCTAAAAACCACCACCACCAGCATTTATAAACATCCTGAATCTGGTCATTTCATGTCTGTTCATAACCGTTACACATATTCCATAATTTAACACAAAAATGAGCTTCTACTTTTGGAGACGCCTGGAATCCAACTACTATCTTTAAAGGGAATAAAGGGCTGGCCCTACGGCATGGTGGGACCCCGCAGGCCAGCTTGGCTGGAACACTGGCCTGGCCAGAGGCTCGTAAAACACCGCACAGGTTGCGGGCGAGCACATGCCAAAATCCGGATGGGATGGGGAAATGGAGGGAAGGTGGCCGAGGATCGCACCCCATAGGCGTGCTTTCTCTCTCTTTCATGCATGCTCACACCCTCTGGCAAATAAAGAAAAAAAGGCAAAAGAAAGCTTATGAAAAGTGAGAGTAAGGTCTTGCTTTTCTTTGGTCTGTAGTTTTAGGCAGCCTGAGGATCTTGAGCAGTTATGTAACAACATGATCCTTTAAAATAAACTATTTTTTCTTAATGCAGACAGGAATTTAAAAACACCTCTTATCCACAGATACGCCTACAGAGGTACATACACCCAACCCAGCAGACCGCCAAGCCTGTTCCGTGCCGTGCCATCTCCTCAGTGGCACCAGTCTGTACGTTTGCCAAAAGCCTTAGGGGACTGTCTGTAAAGACGAGTCCGAGGCCAGCCTTCACCTACGGTTTCAAGGGTTCATAACCTGCGTACTCTCCACCCGCCTCCCAGTAATCTCAAGAATACCAGCGGCTTCTCCACGAAGGCTGCGGATGCCTGAAGAAAACAGTATTTTGTTTTCTCCTCACTTAAGGAATAAGGCAAAACTCTTTTGACTTTGGTTCTGTAACTAGGCAACTAGAACAGGGAGGAAAAAACTTCAGAGGCGAGGGTAAGGAAGAAGTCCCCAGCGAGTTAATGCGCAGTATCAAGGTAATTCTTTTCTCCTGCAGCCCTTGACAAAAAGCTTTTCCTGTCATCCCTGAGCACACAGCTGAGATTCCAATAAGCACACTGGAGAAGCCTGAGCTCCGCCGTGAGCATTTTCAATAACTCACTCTGCTCCTGCCTAGCGAGCGCACATGCCAGCGTCACTAAGTGCGGGCGAAGGCAGCCATCTGCGGGGGCAGCGCCCCCCATGACGGAATAGGGAAGTGGAGGGGACAAATGACCCACAGACGAAGCTTGGGATTCTTGGTGTCTGACTTCGGGATTTATGAAAAGAAAATGCAAGCAGTTGTTAGACATTGTCAATTCAACCATGCAGCACAATGCCCTACTGATCCTCTTTAGGTTTTGGGTCAGCTGAAGTTTTAATGAGTGCTGAGGAGGCAGCGAGATTGTTAAAATCTGCTTACCGCTTGTAGTTTGTCTGTGAAAAAGGATTTTCTCCGTACTGAAGAACCAAAACCAAAAGCGTACTACAGTCATCCATTCCTCCAACGAAAAAAAAATTTAAAGGCTTTTGCCATAGGGCACATGCGCTCACCAGAGAGAGGGAGGGAAAGACAGAGACGTAATGAGAGAGAAAGTGAGAAAGCCCCAGTGGGGATGGTCACACTGCAGTCCCTTCTCTTGCATTCTCCTCTTGGGATTTTGGGCATGCGCACACACACATACCCAGAATGATCTTCAAGCTGCTGAGTCCAAGTCTCAAACTATGGTCAATCGTGGGAATTTGGCGCTTTAACAACCACCCACTGGCCCCCAATTAAAAAAAATTTTTTTTGGAGAGGTTTTTGCTATAGGGCATGTGCGCTTGCCAGACAGACAGAGAGACAGAAAGCGAGAAATCACCCCCCGGGGGGATGGCCACACCTCAATCCCTTCTCCTCCATTCTCCTCTTGGGATCTTGGGCATGCATACACATGCGTCTGGTGTGAGTTTAAGTCACCGAGTCCAGGACTCGAACCGTGGTCGACTACGTGGGAGTCCAGCGACATAGCCATTACGCTAAATGCTGGTCCCCCCAATTAAAAAAAAAATTTTTTTTTGAGAGGTTTTCGCTATAGGGCGCGTGCGCTCGCCAGACAGACAGAGACATAGAGACAGAAAGCGAGAAATCATCCCCCAGGGGGGATGGTCACGCCGCAATCCCTTCTCCTCCATTCTCCTCTCGGGATCT